CTCAAGGATGAGTCCATTCTGGAAAGGCACCAGTCATTACCTCCTCCAACACTGCCTGTCCACTCTCCATGCTTTCTTCCATCTACTTTCCAATAATTCCCTCAGACACATCCCTTCCAGTTCATGAGCCCACTCCTCAGCTGTCTAATCTAAGTTGTATTGAAACACCTCTGAGCCTGAACTCCAGTAGTTACGCTATATCCCAGACATTCTTCCTAATTCTGAAAATGTATTTCTTTACTGTACCATGTGATTTTTTCCTTTTATCTGTTGTGTTACTGGGGCCGACTTTACACCAAGGCTTAGGTCGCAACTCCTCCCCTGGTTTAGATCAACCTCTCCCTCCAAATCCAACTGCCCATCAGCTGTCACTGTTCAGTTTCTCTAAGGGACTAATGGCCACTCCCCTAGGGCTGCTACGGGCTCTGGGGTTCCACGGTCACTTCCTTTGTTCCCCAAAGAGGTCATTCCCCTTTCCCAAGAGATGACCATCTATTTAACTTTTTTTTTTCCAAGATGGAGTTTTGCTCTTGTTGCTCAGGCTGAAGTGCAATGGTGTGATCTTGGCTCACTGCAATCTCCACCTCCCAGGTTCAAATAATTCTCCTGCTTCAGCCTCCTGAGTAGCTGGGATAACAGGCGTGAGCCACTGTGCCTGGCCTACCTACTTAACTTTTTGCTGTGCTATTTATCATACGCAGGTGTTTGAAGCAGGAGGAGTTTGGTTCCTTAGTCCACCACCTTGCTTGAGCCACTCCAGTCTCTAGAGCCAAGGCTAAGGTAAACATGACTAATGAACCTTAAGCAGCAATGGGCTCAGCCATTTTCATAATTAAAGAAAAAATCCTCATGTGACATATTCCCTCCAGGGAATGGCAGGGAGACACCACTGATGTGTTCCCTGTGTCCAGACAGACACCAGGAGGGTAGCCCTCTGCACTCCAGAGGGACAGCTGGAAGAGACCAAGCCACACAGTTCTGCTGTGGCCACTCACTGATGAGGGGCTGGGCCTGTGGCTGTCTTGCTAAGAGGCATTAAACCATTATCGGGATCTCCAGACCAACACTGGCAGGATCACTGATCCTCAAAATACAGCCAGTTATCTCCCCAGTCAGGTGGCATTTAAACACCCATCTGGTTCCTGCTTCACAAGGATGAAGTCCTCAGGTCAGAGGCCACAGCAGTACCAGCAGGTGAAGGGAGGATTTTGCAGATCTGCTCTTAGCAGCAAGGCAGGGCCACGAATGTGCACACACAATGAAGTGTAACCCTTACATAAACATGTCTAGAACTGACGCACATCAGGAAACATCTGGAACATGAGAAAACTGAGCAGGACTGTCTTTTCCAGAAGTGAGAGCCAGACATTGGTAGCTTTTAAAAGTCCCGAGGTGATTATAATTCACATCCAGGGCTGAACCCCATTGGTTTGACCTTTATGTCAGCAGTCCGTCCCACCCAATCTGAAATGTCTGATATCTCCCATTAAGATTACAGGGTCCCTGATTTTACCCCCAGACTGATTCAGGGGGAGGATGGATCTAATGAGTACCCAGGACAATCGCCTCAGCAGCCTCACCACTCACTGAACTCTGCAGGCCCTCCTCAGGTATAGCATGGCAGACATGTTCTACAGAGCATGGCAGCTGGTTTGGAGACAGGGGAGCAGAACAGGACTGCAGGCCACCCACAGGGGAACTGTTCTAGTAGTTGGTCATCATCTTGAAGCCTGGTTGCCCTGAACTTCTGCAACAGACCTGACATTACAAATCAAATGACCTTCATTGAACGCCTATAGGTGCAAAGGCAAAGCTCTCTACCAGGGTCCTCTAGGACACAGAACACACCTTTACCAAAGTTACCACCCATCCCAAAATATTTCAGTTCCAATTCGTTTATTTCCTCATATATCAGTCACTTAAATACTTGACCCTTGAAGGCCTTGTGCTTAGAAATTAGAGATAGGTAAAAACGTGTCCTCAAAGACAACTTTTACAGAGCAGCACGGGAAGGGGGAAGGAATCTCAATGAGAAAGCAGGAGTGGGATGCAGCACTTGAAACACGAGTCACAGGCCCCCTCCAAGGATACATCCCGAGGCCTCTCCCAAGCACTCCCACCCCTTAGAATTCTCTGCTGCTCCCATCGCTGCCCAACACTTCCGATCTACTCATCCATCAGTTTCCCTCCCTAGGAGTAAACCCAAGCTCCAGAAAGAAGGGCCTCCCCTCTGGCTCAGGACCCATCTTCCTGAATTAAAATGCAGGTGGAACATGGCACCTGAGAGAGCTGCTGTTTGTTCAATAAACTGAATGGCAGTGGCATGAGGTACAAGGAATAATAACTGGTTCATCTGAGGATGGATGGGTGTCAGGAATTCTAAAAGGCTTTGTGAAAGTGGGTAGGATTCCAAGTCAGGAAAGGGCTTTTATAGACAGAGGGAATGATCCAAACCTGTGCAGGAGTCCACACAGGTCAGTCAGATGAGGGACAGCAAAGCAAAACGCCAGCTGGGAAGACCTGTAGCCCCACCTGTTTTGCAAATGGGAAAAGAGGCCCAGGAGTGGCTCCCCACAGTGAGGTTACCTCAGCCCCGGCTTCACAAACCCCACATGCAATATGGCAGTTAATCATTTTGGGCACCACCTTTTGGGTCTACCTGTCTCCTATATACCATGTGCCAGAACAGGCACAAGGCAAGTCTCTTGCCCACAACCAGTGGAAAGCAAATGAACTCATTAGCCTTTACAAAACATACTTAAAAAAAAACAAAAAAGGCAAAATTTCACTTTTGCCCAGGCTGGAGTGCAGTGGTGCAATCTCGGCTCACTGCAACCTCCACCTCCCAGGTTCAAACAATTCTGGCTTGGCCTCCCACAGTGCTGGGTTTATAGGCATGAGCCACCATGCCTGGCCAAAAAATATTTTTCTTCCTGAATTAAAATGCAAATTTTACCAATCAAGAAACTAACAAAAGAATACTTTTATTTTAATCACTTAACACTTGTGCAGTATTCAATTTTGAGACTGAAACCCTTGCTTCCCATTTCAACTGCTTAGGAAACAGTCTGAGTTGGCAGAAGTTAATTCTCACATTATTTAGCTAATCAGACAGAATCCTAAAACCTGATTCTAACTTCTGCCTGTATCCCACAATGCAAGGCGAAGCCTTTCTTTATTTTAATCTGGATTCATTAACTTTACGTAACAATAACTTAAAAGCTAGGAAAAGGTATACAGAAATTTAAATTTTGACTATACAATAAATGATGAAAACTTAACAGAACACAACAATGTTCAAATACTGAATACAATTAACAAATGGGGCCAAAAGGTCAACGTTTATCTTGCATCATCTTTCAAGCAATATCTCAGCTTTTTTCTCCCAAACAAAGGCAGATTAATTCAAAGTAGCCCTATTAAGAATATTTGTTTCCTTTTGAAATTAATATTTGAATGGAAACTGTATTAATAACTCATGGCTTCTCCTAAACATAAAGACAGATTTTCTTTCTTTTTTTTTTTTTTTTTTTTTTTTTTGAGATGGAGTTTCGCTCTTGTTACCCAGGCTGGAGTGCAATGGCGAGATCTCAGCTCACCGCAACCTCCGCCTCCTGGGTTCAGGCAATTCTCCTGCCTCAGCCTCCAGAGTAGCTGGGATTACAGGCACGCGCCACCATGCCCAGCTAATTTTTTGTGTTTTTAGTAGAGACGGGGTTTCACCTTGTTGACCAGAATGGTCTCAATCTCTTGACCACCCACCTCAGCCTCCCGAAGTGCTGGGATTACAGGCTTGAGCCACCGCGCCCGGCCAAGACAGATTTTCTTTTCTCTCAAACATAAAGGCAGATTAATTCAAACTAGCCCTATTAAGAATATTTGTTTCCTTCTGAAATGAATATTTGAATGGAAACTGTATTTATAACTCATGGTTTCCTACTGAAGTTTGATTCCTCGAGATGATGGTCAGATTTAGACAATGCTAGAATAACACTCTGGCAATAATTTCAAAGTATGAACTACAGGCAAAATCTAAAAGGACATACATAATTTAAAAATTTCTAAGGCCGGGCGCGGTGGCTCAAGCCTGTAATCCCAGCACTTTGGGAGGCTGAGGCGGGTGGATCACGAGGTCAAGAGATCGAGACCATCCTGGTCAACATGGTGGAACCCCGTCTCTACTAAAAACACAAAAAATTAGCTGGGCATGGTGGTTCATGCCTGTAATCCCAGCTACTCGGGAGGCTGAGGCAGGAGAATTGCCTGAACCCAGGAGGTGGAGGTTGCGGTGAGCCGAGATCGTACCATTCCACTCCAGCCTGGGTAACAAGAGCGAAATTCCAAATCAAAAAAAAAAAAAAAGAAATTTCTAATTTAAAAAACATAGTAAATGTAAATGAATTAACTCACACAACCTACTTACATACAAACAAAACTAGAATAAACAATTTTGCCACTTAACAGGAGCAAGATCTTAGATGGGTCATTTTGTTTAAGGGTGACTTGAAATTTTACAATACGACCTTAGCTCCCACATATGAAAACTATTCAAGAATCTTATTGACTAGAGGTTGGGTAAACTACAGTGAGAAATGAAACGAAACGGCTTCTCACTCATATGAAGGCCCAGATCATGCCTAAATTTCTAGGGATTTAACTTAAAAAATTTTAACTCCTTGCCCTGAGAGATTCCTTGATCCCACAACACTCTACTCAGATGGGGCAGAGAATCCCAGAGCACTACCCAAGCTACAGGAGAAACACACAACCCATCTTGTATCTGGCACCAACAGACTAATGTCTAGCTATATACAGTATTGACTTTCAAGCTGGTTAATTAGTATTTTAATTCATTAAAATAAAAGTGAGACATAACATGCTTTGTCTATATAAGTGTAACTTACTTTAGTCCGTTAGTAAATTGTGAATTGGCTCCTGTTAGTGGTCAGGAGAATGCTTTGTATTTGGTGTAGAAACCAAATAAATCAAGCTACTATCATCTTTTGAGTACAAGCAATGTTTGTAAAGTGCCAGTTTTATATTTAAGTAAACATTAAAATCTGCATTGAAGCAGTGAGGCTGCATCTTTCAACTGGCAGTGCTAATTAAATGAAATGTTTAATCCTGCTGTGTCAAGCTGACTAGGTCACCCCTTACTTTAAAGCCAAGAAGACTGCCACTGTCACCGCTATGGTAAGTCACAGCCAGCCAGCCTGCTAGCAAAAGGTGATAGCACCAGCATTATAAATGTACCGGACTGGTTCTGAGGTAGCTAGTTTTAAAGATGCTGTTAATGAACATTATGGACAATGCATGGTGTAGCTAGTTGATAACACTTTAGCTGATTTTTTCATGAGATGGAAAAAAAAAATCAGCAAAATAAAGGCACATCTTCAGTTCATTTAGAAGTCAGCATCCAAGGTAAAAGAATTCTCTGTTGGACTTGACATCACTCCCATCCTCTGATACTCGCCTACTCTCTTCTCAAAGAAGTTAGTCTTTCCTTCCAGTGAAATATTCTCCATAAAGTCAAATGGATTCTCTACTCTGAAAACCTGAAAAGGTTCACATCAAGATATAAATACAGAGCACCAGTTTCAAAACAAGCAGAAGGCTATGTAAACAATACTTTACCTTGCTAAAACCCAGTTCCAGCATAAGTCTGTCTGCCACAAACTCAATGTATTGCTTCATTAGAGTGCAGTTCATCCCAATGAGCTTCACAGGCAAGGCCTCAGTGAGGAATTCCTAGGAACCAAAATACAGCTTCTGAATACAACTAAAGCAGACATTTTCTAGCAAGCTTGAGTGATCCCTTTCATCACCCACTTACCTGTTCTATCCGAACAGCATTGATAATTATTTCTCTTACTCTCTCCTCTGATGGTTTGTGTACTAGGTGTTTGAACATCAGGCAAGCAAAATCACAGTGTAAACCCTAGAAAAAAAAAGTTCAAGATCACTAAAGTCAGAAGACTTCTGTCATTAACATAGAATATGAAATTACTTTATCCTTTTCTGCATTCTCCTTATCCAACATGCTCATATTGAGAGCACTTGAACTCTCAAAGGGAAGATGACTAACTACTGGCTTCTCTTCGCTGATGTCACCAAGGCAAGCTCAGTCCGACTTAAGGCCCTCAAAGTTGCCACCTAGATAAAAACAGGCAAGGTCTATTTCTTGCTCTGCTCTGGGTGGTGGCAAAGGAGGAGTCAGAGCTTCACTCAAAATATTCTTTTTGCAGCCATGAACCCTTATTTTGCCACTACTCCCAGCAGGAAAGGCAAAACTCAGTGATAAGGTTAGTTTTTATGTGTTCAGGAAATTTGTATGCAATTTCAAGTAAATCAAGTTTGCAAGTTAGCGCAATAAAGCCCAAGCTGTACAACTTATCTCCCAATCCAGTAAGGAAGGTCTTCCTATAAGGTAAGACCAACCAAGTTTGACTTGCCCACTGGACTCCAGGTAAGACGCTTCTTCCTTTTCAAATGTGACTTAATCAAAGACATACGCTAAACCAAAATGTATACTCATTCCATTGAGATGCTAACACTGAAGTAAAGAGGTAATTTCTAGATGAAACAGAAGAAACAATGGCCACTATGAACATTTATGGAATAGGGGATCACATGTAATACCAGGCAAAAATAAAACATCCCTTAAAATCCCAATCCCATCAAGAATTTGTAGTTTTGGCCAGGTGCAGTGGCTCACGCCTGTAATCCCAGCACTTTGGGAGGCCAAGGCAGGAGGATCACCTGAGGTCAGAAGTTCAAGACCAGCCTGGCCAATGTGGTGAAATCCCATCTCTACAAAAATACAAAAATTAGCCCGGCATAGTGATGGGTGCCTGTCATCCCAGCTACTTGGGAGGCTGAGGCAGGAGAAGCGCTTGAACCCGCAAGGCAGAGACTGCAGTGAGCCAAGATCGCACCACTGCACTCCAGCCTGGACGACAGAGCAAGATTCCGTCCCCACAAAAAAACAAACTTGTACTTTTTTATGCATTCAAAGCCTATAAGGCAATACATATGTACTAATGTATTCTAGAGAATACAAGTAAAAAGCCAGGCGCGGTGGCTCACGCCTGTAATCCCAGCACTTTGGGAGGCCGAGGCGGGTGGATCACAAGGTCAAGAGATTGAGACCATCCTGGTCAACATGGTGAAACCCCATCTCTACTAAAAATACAAAAAATTAGCTGGGCATGGTGGCGCATTCCTGTAGTCCCAGCTACTTGGGAGGCTAAGGCAGGAGAATTGCCTGAACCCAGGAGGCGGAGGTTGCGGTGAGCCAAGATCACGCCATTGCATTCCAGCCTGGGTAACAAGAGCGAAACTCTGTCTCAAAAAAAGAAAAAAAAAAAAAAAGAGAGAATACAAGTAAAATAATTTCAGTAAATTAAAGTATTTCCTTCTTTTGTCAAGTATGTGTATGGTTGAACTCAGACATTAAACGTGGATATATGTCATCTAGCATCTCAGGTCCCCATCAGTAAACACCAGAGCATGCCCGAGGTGTGTTTGGGGCTCAGGTTACCCTATGATTTGATTTAGACTCACCTCATCTCTGCTAATAAGTTCATTAGAAAATGTGAGGCCAGGCATCAGTCCTCGTTTCTTGAGCCAGAATATGGATGCAAAAGAACCAGAAAAGAAGATGCCTTCCACTGCAGCAAAGGCTACAACACGTTCACCTATTAACAGCAATATTATTCTAGTGAGTAAATGTTGGTATTCACAGGAACGGTCAACAATCCAGTAACATTACATGGAAAATAAAACTCAGGTTGAAGTAGGGGCAAGGGTCTCCTTACCATAGGTAGCCTCTTTGTCCCCAATCCAGCGCAAGGCCCAATCTGCCTTCTTCTTGACACAAGGCATCGTTTCAATGGCATTGAAGAGAAATTCCCTAGTAGGCACACACAGCATCAGCAATTGAAGCATTACAGTAAAAGACCCCCGATTACCAGCTGCTAGATAAGAGCTCTGGGACAAAGGCCAAATTCAAGTATTTGCTGATTCTCTTCCCAAAGGAAGAACCCACGTCAAAATGTTTTATTTTTACTGGTCAGCTTTTCCCTCCAGTGTTCTTTTAAAAGTGTCAACATTTGATTTACGTTAATACAAATGTGGGTATTCTGTAGTTCATATGGAGCTTCAGGGTCTACAAACAGTAAAACGTGGTTCAGTACAGCAGGGACATTTGTTGCTTTTTTTTTTGGAGACGGAGTTTTGCTCTTGTTACCCAGGCTGGAGTGCAATGGCGCGATCTCGGCTCACCGCAACCTCCGCCTCCTGGGTTCAGGCAATTCTCCTGCCTCAGCCTCCTGAGTAGCTGGGATTACAGGCACGCCCCACCATGCCCAGCTAATTTTTTGTATTTTTAGTAGAGACGGGGTTTCACCATGTTGACCAGGATGGTCTCGATCCCTTGACCTCGTGATCCACCCGCCTCGGCCTCCCAAAGTGCTGGGATTACAGGCTTGAGCCACCGCGCCCGGCCCATTTGTTGCTTTTATTATTTCAAGTCCAGATCATAGTTCCATGTGACGAACCATAAAATTTAAATTTAAAAAACCATAAAATCCTAACTGCCAGGCTATTATCAGAATATCATTGGTTGCATTATTTGGCCCCAATTGCCACATCTCCATCATAAAATAATTAAACGAATAAATTAAGATTGCTTCCTACTAAAATTCTGTCGTACACTGTCAATCCCAGGTCAGCAAAGTCAGTCCATGGGTATTACAGTTAACTGGGTCCCCCTTACCACTCTCCTCTGCCTCTCTTTATTCTGGTGCCCACCTTGAGAGGCTACTGATTTCCCAGCGTGTTCCTACCCAGAAGACCTTGTGTTCTGAAGCCAAGGTCACCAGACATTGGGCAGCTTTCATTTCTATTTAAGGGATGAGGGTCTCAGTCTGTTGCCCAGGCTAGAGTGCAGTGAGATAATCATAGCTCATGTTAAAACCAAACATCCTTCCGCCTCACTGTGCCAAGTGGCTGGGACTACCAGCTCACACTACCACATCCGGCTGGCTGCCTTTTATTCTCTTTCCATCTCACTGTCCTTCTCTTTGAGACCTGGGTCTGCCTCTCCCTTGCTTTTCAGGCTTTCCCAGCTGACCTTCCTGATTGCACCCGTTCTCCTTCTGGTCATTTGCCCCCAATCGTACCCCTAATCTTTGCCTGCTTCTCTCAATTTCCACCTAGATAAACATGTTCAAATCTCTTCACCTCAGTCCTTTCAAGTTACCACTTTCCTGTTCACGCACTTCTAATTTTACAACAGCCACATTAGGGTTTCAGCTTCACCACTTCTACTCCATACAGAGGCTCCAGTCCCTAAAGCTGACTTTAGTGTCTAGGCTACTCCAACAGCCCCTTTCTAACCCATCGCCTCCAATCAATCTCCAAAACATAAAACAGACCTTATGCTACCTTTATTCAGCCAAACCGCTGCATGCCTAAATCAACCTCAGGGCTCCCCACCGCCTCTGCCTGTGTAGCTCCCCGTACTTGCCTGCAGTGCAGCGCCACTCCCCAGCAGGACGTCCTCCCCGCCCTTCATCCGGCTGCAACCCCACATTCTAGTTTCTCAACAACTTTACCAAATGACCAAAGATGGTCAGGCATAGGTTTTAATTTGTCTTACCCAACATGCAGGAATTGCTTCAAAAGAAGGCTTTCGATTGGTAGGCATCCAACTCTAAAAGTGGAGCACCTTCGCAACGCTACGTGAATGATAAAGTGAACTTAGGCTCCTTGCTAAGAGCAGACATGACCACAGGTGCTGGAAATGTCTATGACTGTCTGCTTGGTCATTCTGGAGTCATTTTTATCCCTAGATGAACTAAAATTTTGTCATAAATCAACAATTAAAGAGTCCTAAAAATCTTGGCATACCACTTCAATACTCACCTTTCGTTGGGATCTTTTATGTAAGTGTCAATAAGGAGACTATACATTTCAGAATGTATGTTTTCCATGGCAATTTGGAAGCCATAGAAACAGCGGGCTTCTGTAATCTGAACTTCTTGGCTAAATCGCTCCACCTAGTGGCGAAACACAAAGTCGAGCTTGAGAAAAAACGCGGCAGCAACTCTTGTCAATGGATAGCGGTAGCATCACATTCTGTACCATTATAAGATTTCTTTCTATACATATTTCATCCAAATTCTTCACAATTCTGTGATAAAGTGTGATATTTTATATCATATGCTCGATTTACAGATCAGGAAATAGAAACATATAAATTAGGAAATAATTGAGCGCTCACAGAAATCCTAATTTATGTCAAGAAAGATCTGTTCACAGCAAGAGATACAACCAAATTACTATTAAAACAGCAAAGCCAGCAAAAGGAGGGAGCAGGGCCGGGCGTGGTGGCTCGCGCCTGTAATCCCAGCACTCCGGGAGGCAAGGCGGGAGGATTACCCGAGGTCGGGAGTTTGAGAACATCCCGGCCAATACGGTAAAACCCCGTCTCTACTAAAAATACAAAAAATTAGCTGGGCATGGTGGCGTGTGCCTGTAATCCCAGCTACTCAGGCGGCTGAGGCAGGAGAATTGCCTGAACCCAGGAGGCGGAGGTTGCGGTGAGCCGAGATCGCGCCATTGCACTCCAGCCTGGGTAACGAGAGCGAAACTCCGTCTCAAAAAAAAAAAAAAAATACAAAAATTAGCCAAGCGTGGTGGTGCACGTCTGTAATCTCAGCTTCTCAGGAGGCTGAGGCAGGAGAATCGCTTGAACCCAGGAGGCAGAGTGAGCCAAGATCGCGCCACTGCACTCCAGCCTGGGTGACAGTGAGACTCCGTTTTTATAAAAGGAAAAAAAAAAAAAAAAAAAAAAAAAGGCGGGAGCAGATGTGGCCACAGGGAGTCAGCCTATTGCTACCACTTAACATGGCCTCAGTTTCTCTAGAGTCAGGAAAATACCATGCGGAAGAAAGAACTGCAAAGCGTGTTCAAAAGCAGGAAATGCCGTGTCATATAGAAACCAGCTCACACACACACACACACACACACACGCACACACACGCACGCACTCGGCGTGGAAAACGGAGGACTTAATAAGAGGGACACAGAGCCCCCCAGGGCGACCTCCGATCGCCGAGCGAGTGACAGGTTTCCTTCTGGAGACTCACCAGGTTTTCATTCACTATGCCGTCGCTTGCTGCAAAGAAAGCCAGGACGTGGGATACGAAGTACCTCTCCTCGGGCTTCAGGGACTCCCAGTGCCGGATGTCCTTGGACAGGTCCACCTGCGGGCCGGCGGGCACAGTCAGAGCGCGAAGGGGGAGCGGGGCCCGCAGGGCTCGGCCCGGGGCCCCAGACGTGGGCTCACCTCCTCGGCGGTCCAGAAGGAGGCCTCCGCCTTCTTGTACATCTGCCAGATGTCGTGGTACTCGATGGGGAAGATGACGAAGCGGCGCGGGTTCTCTCTCAGCAGCGGCTCCTCCTCCGCGCCGCGGGCGGCCGCTCTGGCTTTCTGCTGCGGGGGAAAAGGAAACGCCGAAGCGCGGGCGCCGCTCAGGGACCTGCGGTGCGTCTGGGCCAAGTCCGTTCCACCGGCGGCAATTCCGTGGGAAACGTGGGCAGTCCCGTCGCGCTCCGTGGGTCACCGCGGGGAGGCGCACGTGCGAACCGGGAAGCCGGCCGCCCGGGGGAGGGGCCGCCTGCGCGGGAAAGGAGCCGTCGCGGGGGTGGGAGCCGCCGAGGAACAATGCGGCTTTGGCGCCAAGACGCTCCGGGCCGCCCCCGGCCCCTCTGCCCCACGCCCGCCGCTCACCGGCTCCGCGGGCTCCTGGAAGATCCTCCTCGCGGTCTTGCTGGCCAGGACGCGGGTCCCGTTCAGGGCCGGGGGCTGCGGGGAGACGCGCGTGAGTGACGGGCGGCCGGCCTCGCCTTCCCCGCCTCCCTGCCCCGCCCGCTGCGCCCGGCCCGCGCGCTCACGGTGTTCTCCTTGTCCACCAGGCTGAGCCCCTTCAGCGGCGAGAGATGCAGCTGCTGCGGGTCCGTGATGGGCGCGAGCGGGACGCGGACGGAGAGCATGACGGCGGCGCGACGAAGGAGAGGTGGTAGTCAGGGCCTGGCGGCTGGGAAGGGGCGCACGGGCAGCACCCCGACCCAGCCGCCTTTAAATCTCCCGCGCCACGCACTCCCAGCTCTTCCCATTGGCCGTGCGGTAACTCCGCCCTTCCCATTGGCCCTGCCTTGCCCCCGGCCCGTCGGGCCTGGGTCTACCTCTGGCAAGGGTCCCGGCCCTTCCCATTGGCTACGCGGTGCCCCGACCCTTCCCATTGGCTACACGGTGCCCCGACCCTTCCCATTGGCTGCCCTTTGCCCCTAGCCGTGGGGCCGCGCGCATTTTTCAAGCGCTGCGCGGGAGCCTCCGCCGGCGCCTTCCAGAGACCCTCAGGAACGCCCCCGGGACTTCCCGGGATACCCCCCCCATCCGCTGGCTGAGTCGGGGGCGCTGCCGCCCGGGCCCCCGCGGGTCCCACGGGACCAGAGTCGCAGCCCCTGAGGGTCTCGGAGACCTTGGCGCGCGCGGGCCCCGGTTCGCCAGAACCGTTTGGGGTTGCGTGCGGCGCAGCGATTGGAGCCCGCCGGCGCGAGAGTATCCCCGGGCCCCGGCCCCGCCTCCCAAAAAGTGCCTCCTCCCAGCCCGGTGGCGGCCGGGCGGGGGGCTTAGCCAACGAGGTTGGTGCAACGGCCCGGAGAACGCTCCCAGCTGCAGGGGAGGCGTTGCTGCGACCCTTTCGATCCGTGTCCCGGGGTGGGGGTGCAAGGGCCCGGAGGCCTGACGCTTTGGCGGGGTGGTGGGCGAGGACCCTACAGCCTAAAAGTTAGGGGCCGCTGAGCCCCGCGGCTCCTTTTGCTGTGTATGGGATAAGCGACCAGGCTTCTTACAGATTCGGTGTCCCCGTGGGTAAAATGGGACTCATCACAGTACCCACCGCGTGGGGGGTTAATACGGTGAGAAGCGTGTTCGTTGAGATGACTCATAAAAAATGTGCAGTCCTCTGTAGACCTGCCAACTCCAGGACACGGAGAGAAGGTCCATGGTGCAGTTTTCCACTGAAATCCTGTCTCCTGCCGGGCGCCTATCCCGTATTGTCACCCTCGCCTTAGGAACTGCAAAATGGCTGGGCGCGCTGGCTCGCGCCTGTAATCCCAGCACTTTGGGTGGCCCAGGCGGGAGGATTGTTTGAGGCCACGAGCTGGAGGCCAGCCTGGGCGACATAGTGAGACCACCCCTCACCCCGCCATTAAAAAAAAAAAAAGAAAAAAGTTGTTTTAATTACAAAGTGGGCAAAAACTCCTGGGAGAAAGCTCACAGAATGATTTTTAGAACTAGGAATTAGTATACTACTCACTGGCTTTCTGATTTGCCAGGCCCTGCAATGGGCAAAATGTCAAAAATAAAGGACGAGAGGCCGGGCGCGGTGGCTCACGCCTGTAATCCCAGCACTTTGGGAGGCCGAGGCGGGTGGATCACGAGGTCAAGAGATCGAGACCATCCTGGTCAACATGGTGAAACCCCGTCTCTACTAAAAATACTAAAAATTAGCTGGGCATGGTGGCACGTGCCTGTAATCCCAGCTACTCAGGAGGCTGAGGCAGGAGAATTGCCTGAACCCAGGAGGCGGAGGTTGCGGTGAGCCGAGATCGCGCCATTGCACTCCAGCCTGGGTAACAAGAGCGAAATTCCATCTCAAAAATAAATAAATAAATAAATAAAGGACGAGAAACTTTAAGATCCAGGAAAGAAATCATTAACCTGAGAAAGCTTCAACAGCTGCACTCAGGGGCTGTTATTTCGAGAGACTCTGGACTTTTTTTTTTTTTGCAAAGCCCTTTCTAGATAAGATACTTTATAGAGGGTGGCCTGGGGCAGGAACCCTCACCACCTAGCTCTGTTCCTCCCATTAATTAAAAGTACTACAGACTTGTATTCAAAGTATTCTCGTGTTGCGGGGATAAGTACTGAGCATCACATTCCTTACACAAAGCCACAACTAAAACTTTGATGTAGCATCATTTGTTTAAAGCAACTCGCAGACAATGCCAGTTTCACCGCAACACACTAAAGCATCCGTCTCCAGGAAACTGGTATTTTTATTGACAATTTATGGCTGATAAAGCCATTATCTAACAAAATCATAATTTATTGGTGTCATTTCATACCCAACTCAGATTTCAATTTCCCATAATCAACATCCAAAGCCCTCGTTTCGGTTGCCCTGCGGCACTCAGTGCTTTTTTGCTCCTGTTATACTCACTGTAACTGAAGCAGCCAGAGGTGGCTTCATTTATAGTTTAGTTCCTGGCCACATGAATAACATAGCCACTGTAGAAGTAGTGGAAAGATGCGTACGTGTTAGAGGCCGGGTGATGTCGCCATCCTCCCTTCCCGCTCGAGCCTGTGTCATCTTGGCGTGGCCCTCCTCCCCCCAGGTCCCGGATCTTTGACCCACTGCGGAGGGGGTGGTGGCGCCCAGGGCCACGCGGCGCCCAGGGCCACGCGGTTCCGCCCCTGGGGGGTGCCAGGCGATGCAGCCACTCTTGGGAGGGCGCCCGCTGCAAGCGCAGGGCTGCTGATAGTTCCGGGATTTACTCCTTTCTCCCTCGGTGCTCGTTTTATTGGTTTTGTTTAAGTAAACAGAGGAGATTGCTTTAGACTGCCCAGGCTGGTCTCAAACTGCTGGCCCCAGGCGATCCTACCTCCTCCGCCTTCCTAACCGCCGGGATTCCTGGCGGGAGCCACTTGAGCGCGAGTTTTGACTTCGGCATCTACTCCACCATTGGTCCGCACGGGAGGTCCCGCCCCGCCCCCGGAGGCTCCTCTGCGTTCCCAGCCTCGGGCTCCCCCGCCCGGTTTCCGCTTCGCGCGCTCAGGACTACGCGGCCTGCCTGGGCAGGTCTGCAGGTCCCTGGCCAAGGTTAGCGCGGGTTCCAAAAGGCTCTTCCTACCTGTCCACCATTAAGGTGGAAAAACCGCGGCCCGGGAAGCTGAGCATTCCCTGTGTACCAGACGCCATGCTGAGGGTGGTCATAAAAATAATTAAGGCTGCAGCACCCACAGTCTCTGGGCGCTTGGATCATTTGAGGCTGGTTTGTGTTTTTTGTTTTGAGACAGGGTCTCGCTCTGTTGCCCAGGCTGGTGGCTCGATCATAGCTCACTGAGGACTTCGACTTTCCGAACCAAAGCCATCCTCCCACCTCAGCCTCCCAAGTAGCCGGGACTACAGGCATGCACCACTACGCCAGGCTAATTTTTAACTTTTTTTGTAGAGATGGGTTCTCGGTATGTTACCCAGGCTGGTCTTGAACTCCTGGGCTCAAGCCATCCACCCGCCTTGGCCTCCCAAAACATTCAGATTACAAGTATGAGCACTGACCCACCGGGATTGGTATTTTTAACCTTGTTTCACCAGTAGGGAAATGAAGGCCTGAGAGGCAAGGAAACTGCCCAAGGTCACACAGCAGAACGTTTCTACCCTAACTTTTTATTATGATTGTTTTCTATATGCAGAATAATGGAAAGATTTCTAGTGTGTTCACCCAGCACCTCAGATTCCACAGCTGTTTCCATTTTGTCATATTTGCTTCCAGCAAATAAAGCAAATACCCTCTGTGGGTATGTGAAGCTTATGCTTTTTTATGGATCATTTGAAAGTGAGGGATAACTATCATGACTCCCCCAAATGTTTCAGCTCCTAAAAATAAGGACACTCTCTACCATAACCACAATACCACACTTACACCTCAGAAAGCTAAAATAATTCTGCGATGTCACCTAATATCCAGTCCATATTCCTGTTTTTCCTCTTGTTTCAAAAATGTCTCATAGCTTTTTTTTTTTAATTTTATTTTTCGTGTAGGATCTAATTCATTACATGCATTGCATTTTGTTATTATGTGTCACTTTAGTCTCTTAGTAAAGCTTTGAAGTACAAGCCAGTTTTCTTGTAGAATGTCCCACTTCTACACTTGCCTGATTGTTTATTCATCCTGTCCATTAACTTGTTTTCCTGACCCCTATACTCTACACTGGAAGTAGACCAAAAGGCTTTATTATTAGGCCCTGCTCGGTGGCCCACACCTGTAATCCCAGCACCTTGGGAGGCTGAGGCAGGCAGATCACCTGAGGTCAGGAGTTTGAGAGCAGCCTGGCCGACATAGGGAAACCCCATCTCTACTAAAAATACAAAAATTAGCCAGATGTGCTGGCAGCTGCCTATAATTCCCACTACTTGGGAGGCTGAAGCAGGAGAATCACTTGAACCTGCAAGGCGGAGTTTGCAATAAGCCGAGATCACACCATTGCACTCCAACCTGGGCAGCAAGAACAAAACTCCGTCTCAAAAAAAAAAAAAAAAAGAAGAAGGCTTTATTAGACTTAACTTAAAAGTTATTGGCAAGAAGACATCTTAGGTGATAATATAGCCTAGGATGTGTTTGTTTGAGATGGAGTCTGGCTCTGTCACCAGGATGGAGTGCAGTGGCACGATCTCCACTGCAACCTCTGCCTCCCGAGTTCAAGTGATTCTTCTGCCTCGGCCTCCCAAGTAGCTGGGACTACACAGATGCACCACCACGCCCAGCTAATTTTTGTATTTTTAGCAGAGACGGGGTTTCATCCTGTTGGCCAGGATGGTCTTGATCTCTTCACCTCGTGATCCGCCCACCTTGGCCTCCCAAAGTGCTGAGATTATAGGCATGAGCCACCCCACCCAACCCTACAGCTAGGATTTGAACCCAGGTCTGACTAACTCCAGAATTCCAGACTCTCAAAAACTTTGTTTTAATATGACCTGCAAGCCAGGCATGGTGGGTCACGCCTGTAATCCCAGCACTTTGGGAGGCCGAGGTGGGCGGATCATGAGATCAAGAGATCGAGACCATGGTGAAACCCTGTCTCTACAAAAAAATACAAAAATTAGGCCGGGCATGGTGGCTCACGCCTGTAATCCAAGCACTTTGGAGGCCAAGGCCAGCAGATCACCTGAGATCAGGAGTTCAAGACCAGCCCGACCAACATGGTGAAATCCCGTCTTTATTAAATAAATAAATAAATAAAAATTTTAAAAAATACAAAAATTAGCTGGGTGTGCTGGTGCGCACACCTGTGGTCCCAGCT